GACAAGCAGAAAGTTCTTTGAATCAATTAATTCGGACGCTTAGTTCTCTCAAAAACTTCCATTTTTTGTACATTTAGCTCCGTATCTTCGAAATGGCTGGGCCTGTCTTTGCGAAAAACTAATATTTAATAGTGGTGTATGGCATTGTGTCTTCAGGCAAATTGCTGGAACTTCTCATACCGCAGTAAAACATTTGAGGAATATTAAATGTTTTCATATAGATTATTATAAATACTGTAACTTTGATTATTTTTATTTTATATACAAAATATAAAAGTTTATAAATTGGAAGACGACGTTTGTATATGTTTACAAAAAAGTAAATAACCAAAACTTACTCAATCAGATTTAAAATCAAAGACATTGTCTATTTATAAAATTCTATAAACAGCATTGCAAAGTTCAAATTATTTATTTGAAGTATATAAGCGAGCTTTAGAACTTTAGCTCGAAATAAAATTAAAATTCGAATTATCGATATTCAGAAAAAAAAACTTCTTGAAAATTTAAAAAAAAATGTAATAAAAAAATGTCTTCTCCCAAAAGCAAGTTTTCTGAATCATTAAAATCGGATATTTAGTTCTCTCAAAAACTGGCATTTTTGCAAATTTAGCTCCGTATCTCCAAAAGGGCTAGACCTGCCTTTGTCAGAAACTAATCACCACTTCTCCCCATCATTACAAATTTTATGTTTTTTGGATCATTAAAAACCAATGCTCCATACTCTCAAAAACTCGATTTTTATTTTCTGCACTCTTTGCTCCGTATCTCCAAAACGACTAGACCAGCCTTTGCCAAAAACTAATCAGCACATCTCCTTATCAATAGGCATTGACTTTTTGTGATCTATTCAAATCGGTTGCGCCCGAAAACGTGGACGCAAAATTGTTTCCTTTTTTCTAAAGTATGCCAAAATGTTCATAAACCCTCAAAACGTGAAGCTATATAAAAATTTTCATTTTCGGCTTTTGGCCGATTACGATAACTTACTCTACGCCGTAGAGTCTACGGGAAGTTAATTATTATATGAATAATAATAAAAATCGGGATCGATTTGTTAAAATCATGCTTACATAAATAAATGAATAACATTATGAATATAAGTCGTCCAGAATTAGCAAAAATACATATAACAAAATAACTATATTATTATATTTACATAACTTATGTTGATGATATAGCAAAATGTTACTTGCTAAATTACATTGTGAATTTCGCCAGGTGAAAAAATCAGTTTTCACTCTTAAAACTCAGTATTTTTCAGATGTAGTATGGAAAATTAATTGATTAATAAATTTACGTTAATAAATGTTAAATATACTCGTACATTTTGAATTTCTATAAATTTTTAATAATTTCTGCGAGAATTGGTAACCGTATGATTTTGTTTATCAACTGTTATGTTTTCAATATTAACGAGCAAAAATTAAATACTTTCAAAAAGAGTTGAAGTGTTTTTAAATAACATGATAATTTGTTCGGTTTTTCATTTAGAATATCCTTTCATCGACTAAACACATGTCATGACATCAATTAAAACAAGGCACAATAGCCTTTTGGTATTTGGTTTCTGCAGATGACAGCCGGTGCAAAATCTATTCAGATACGATATACACAATTGAAAATATATTTCATTCAAAATGATTTTTCGAATGCTTTTTGTAGTTTAAATAATTTTTGAATTCTGGACTTATAATGAAATAACGGTGACATGATCAATGGTTGTATTTATAATATAAATTAGTTACCCTTTTGTGCGTATGAAGTAGTTTATTTAATTTTTTTATCATACATTAATAATAAATTTGATAATTTCATAATTTTAATTTTAAAGTAAAACAAATTGTGAAGTGCAAGTTTATTAACTTCCCAAGAAGTTTGTGATTTTGCTAGAAAATTCATTGTACTAATTATTTGTTTCTTCGGCGGTTCAAGTCATTCTAAAACGTTTGAGATCGAAATTGAAAAAGGTTTGTGTGAGTGACCTTGAAAATAAAAATTTGATGCTTTAAGTTTTCTTAAAAACGGCTGCACCGATTTTATAACGATAAAAAACCTCTAATTAATTATTACTCTTTTTTTTGTTCAACTTAGTGAAACATTCTTTATATTATATAATGAAAATAAATTCGATTTTGGTTGCTACTAATTTTGATCATTTTTATTTTATTACTCTATGCAATTTATTATTTTGATCAAATCATTATTTAAGATTTATATATACATCTATATATATATATACATCTATAAATCCATACGTTTCGAGTGCCAATTTAACTCTTTCAGCGCTAAGGAAAAGTAATTTTTATCATTTCCTATAAATTAAGTAATTTATGAAATTGTTTTAAACTTGTAAAATTGTCAAAAACACGTTTTGAAATAGTGATTTCACTAAACTATAAGCATTGTTTATAACTACTATCTTGATCCTAATAAATTGATTGAGCTGTTATGAAACAATAGCTAACAATATTTTGCTTAGCATTAAAGTTCAAAATAGTTTTGATATAAACTGTCTAACTTTTCATAAATTTTTATTCAATATTATTCAAAAACTTTTTCATTCGACCTACATAACATGGAGAAATCGTTGTGAGTAAATCTACATAATATAATAAAACATAGTTCTGAAATTCCTGTTTGGAATTATCGAGAGAGTAGATCGAAGGGACTGAATTATTCGGAATATTAACCAAATAGTTAACGTTAGTTTAATACGAAGCTACGGATTTGGATTTGGGTAATACAATTGAAATGATAAAGACATTTTCATCTGGCGTATCATAGGACTCCGGTGACAATGAGTGATTTTAATATTTGGGTGCAATCCAGCACAAAATCTAATAATTACTTCATCGATTTTGTTTGAATGATAAGATAAAAACGAAAAATGTAACACAAATTTTACAGATTTGTTAAGAAAACTTCAGCATAAAATAATTTTGCTGATAAAATTAATGAATCACAATATTTTTCTTAACTCATAAAATTTCATCCCTACGTGTTATTTGAGAAACATTATTTGTTTGCTTGTTAAATAATAATAAAAAAAAATATTAAATTTGTAGTGTTTTTTTTAAATTAAAGTTTTACTAGTGTATTTAAAATTTCCTATACAATAACAGTAACTTTTTGATAGATTTATAAATTTTTCCGATAATTTTTGTTCTAAGAATAACATAATTAAAGTTAAGCAATAAAAATTATTATATTAGTAATGTTAATATTCATGATATTGACGTTGAACTAGTAAATTAATTATATAGTGAGTAGTCATTCAAAAATATTTACCAAACTGACAGTACTTTAGTAAAAAATCTAATAATAACGTGTCATTTATGTTTTGGGCATATTTTGGTCTACAATTTGGTAAAAAATCGTTTTATTAACTTACCGTAGGGCAAGTTATAGTAATCGCAAAAAAATCGAAAATGAAATTTTTTATATATCTTTACGTTTCAGAGGTTTCTGAAGATTTTGGCATACCTTACAAAAATGGATATGTGTGTGTATATGCAAAAGTGCGGATACAAATTTTTGTCGACGATTTTGGGAACACCGAACAACCGATTTAAATAAACATTCGATTCGTACTGATAAGGAAGCGTGCTAATTAGTTTTTGACGGGGGCAGGTCTAGCCGTTCCGAAGATACGATGCAAAAAGTGTCAAAAACGGTAACACGGTTTTTAAGAGGACGGAGCGTCCGATTTTAAGAATACAGAAAACATTTTACTTGTATTAATAAGATGAAGAACTAATCAAATTTTCATGAAGACAAGACTGTTTTCGGAGATCTAGTAAAAAAAAGTAAAAAAAATGCGATTCGGCGGTCAAAAATGATCATTAGACATATGCACATCAAATTATTAGATATTTTATAGAGATTTTAACAATAAGTATAAGTTTACATTCCTACGGGTTCCGTACCAATGTTTATCCGTGCTTACGCGCTTCGATATTTCTTTGAAAAAAGTTCAGAATTTCCAAAATATTTCAAAATAATTTTTTTCTTCAAAAAGTCTTTTTTTTTTCAAAAAAAAGTAAATTTTTGTCAAAAATGTATAGTTTCTCAAAAAACTAATTTTTTCAGAGTAAATTTTTTTCAAAAATGTTAATCTTTTTTAAAAATAAAAAAAATTGGTACGGGAAGTTCCAGAAATTTGCCTTAAAGCACGATGCCATGCGCCCCACTAATTTTAGTAAATTTTTGAAGTTTGACTGTTCAGGAATAATGTGTACAAGAAGATTTTCATAATTTGAATCCTTTTTGGAGATATAGCTATTCGACCATGAGAATGCGCTCCTGTAAAACTTGAAACTGTCTTTTTCGATACGATACCCACGATTTATCAACTTCGACTGTACCGATTTACTTGAAACTTTTACATAGTCTTCTTTATATACTTCTCTTCAGTATAAATAACGCTCATCCCAAATTTTAATTTTTACTATTTTTATAAAATTCGAGAATATCCGAAAAAAAATTTTTCAAAAAATATTTTTCTTACAGATACTAATTATTTTGTAAAAAAAAACATTTTTAACTTGTTTGTGGATCATACATTTGCGACATTATTCTGGATTAATAATACTGTTTTCTTCAGATAATTTCGAAGGCTAAAATCTTGGGTATAATCAGGTGCCAATTTATTTAAAACTTTTTTTTTCACTTCCTACAATTAAAATTTTGTGATAATTTTTAATTATATTTTTGTATGTTCTTAAAACATTATAATTGAACTTGTAACAAAAGATAGTAAAAATATTGTTTACGTTATTTTTATAGTTTTCAAACACTGCATTAAATTTATGCCTCTAGATCAGAATATATCCTTTACAAAAAAACGAATAAATTATTTAGTTCAAAGACTTTTATATTTTTACAAAATTATAGTTCTCCCCTATATTTAGTGTCAGCAGTTTTCCAGTCATTCATTCTGCATTTAGTAAATAGAATTAAATAAATGTTTAAACTTGAGGGATTTTGTTATTTTTGAGGCTCGTGTCTACCTCCTCTCGGCCGGCTTTTCCTTGGCATTCGGCTCCATGTTCACAAAGACATACCGTGTGCATAGAATTTTTACGAGGGCACGTGGAGGCGTCTGCAGAGATCGCCTGCTGCAGGATAAACAACTCATATCCCTCATAGGGGCTTTACTTCTTGTCGACGGTCTTGTTGTCACTTTATGGGTCACCGTGGACCCCATGGAAAGGCATCTTAGGAATCTGACACTGGAAATAAGCGCGGAGGATCGAAGTGTCGTGTATCAGCCTCAGGTGGGTAAAATTCTAATTTTAATAAAAATATTGATTTGATTCTATAATAAGAGATATTAACAGTATGTGCATGACAAGAAATTACTCAAAAGTATTATTTATTCAAATTGTTATTAAGAATTGTATTGATTCTCCCAACCAGTATTAAATTAGTTATTAGTATGGTATAGCGTATAATTTTCATAATTGCTCTATCAATTTATTTCTTTCCATACAACTCCAAATGGCAAATCACCCCTAGTTCTCAGATTTTATCAATATATAAAATTATTTTGATATTAATATTGATCTGAAATAAAATTCTATATAATAGTCATAAAATAAAAAAACTTAGTGTAAGAATCAATAATCTTTTAATTGATCTTAATATGTGCATGGCAAGAAAATACTCATATGTATTGTTTATTAAAATTGTCATTAACATTTATATTTTCATTTTCAATATGCTTATAACAATTATTATTTGGCCGGCTCTAAAATACAGAAACTAAATTGTTAGGCTGCACTTTGACACCCTGCTCGTCATTCTGGTTTCTCTTAAGAGCGAATAAATCTTCCGCCTTTTACTGAAGATTTCCGTGGAGGAGAGCACTCAAATGAGTCTTTACTTAATTTGAATTAATTTGTGAATCCGGCATTTGTTTGTTGGGCCGATAATGATCTAACTATTTTATTAATGTAATTTTGCACATGCAGTTGTAAATATCTCCAAAAACTTTTAAACTTTCAACACATTTTTATAGATAACTAGCAAACCGGGCGAACTCCGTTTCACCACCAGATGGTTTCATTTTATGTAACATTTCGTTTGGTGATTAAAAGATGAAGAAAAAAATTGTCTGCTGTTGAAATTGTATAAAAATTTGCACTATGCACGTGATTGATTTAATGGTTTCCAATTGATATGTTAGGAAACGAATAACTTATTTTTTTACATTTTTGCACAATATCACAGTGAACACAATGCCGGTTTTTCACATGAAATTAACTGGGCAGAGAACAATGAGGAGCTGTCAAACAAAAGAGTAGCAGTCAAACAAAAAATATTAGTTTGTAGTACATGCTAAGTATCAGAGATGACGCTGCGTGTGAAAAACGATTTTTCCGCTTTTCTGGATTTTTTTCTTCAATTTCCTTTGCTATAAACCTCACGGAGTCCGAGACCTTTCTAACGAATGCAAAATCGTCGAAATCGGTTCCTGCGTTCTGGAGTTATTTCGTCAGGAAGAAAAACCCGACTTATTTTTATATAAAAGATTATAAAAATATCTCATCTCTTCACATTTTTTTCGTGTGATTGTTCTGGTTTAAACACATTATATATAATTAATTCTTTTAACTTAGATTCATATTAGTTTCATCATAAAATAAAACAAATAAGGATTATCTCTAATTTTTCTAAATCATGGCTAGGCTTTTCTGGTAAGGCTTCGATGTAGTTGACTGATACATTTTTAAGGCATTAAACTTGAAGCGACATATGTTTTATGATCATGATCAAGAAAATCAATCCCATACTTGAAATTTAATATATTGCAAGTTGTATATAAAAATATGTATATATGAAAATATTTTTTTTCCGCAGGTGGAGGTCTGTCGATCTCTGCACACGCACAGTTGGCTCGGCGCCCTGTACGCTTACAAGGGCCTCCTCCTCCTCGTGGGCGTTTACATGGCTTGGGAGACGCGGCACGTGAAAATCCCGGCTCTGAACGACTCTCAATACATAGGAATATCAGTCTACAGTGTCGTAATAACTAGCTGTATAGTTGTAGTTCTAGCCAACCTCATCTCCGAACGTGTCACTTTAGCTTTCGTCACAATATCAACACTGATATTGTTCTCAACGACGGCCACTTTATGTTTACTTTTCGTACCAAAATTAAACTCGATCATGAACCAAGAAGAACAAGCCGATCCTGTGGTTCATAGCATGGGGTTGAAAATTGAATGCAATACGAGGAGATTTGTTACAGATGATAAGAGAGAATTACAGTACAGAGTTGAGGTGCAAAACAGGGTTTACAGGAGGGAAATGGCAGCGCTGGATGCAGAAATTAGTAAGTTGGAGAAAATGTTGTCGGAATCTTTACATTCGAGTAGGTCGACGTCTACCGCCAGCATTAATGCGAAACATAAATTGAAGGTAAGGAAATAAATATATACCATTACATTTTTTTTAATATCTGCACTTTAACGGCTGGTGCGACTATCGGCCAGGCCGTTTCTTTATAAATCGCAGAAAAGTGAAATTTTTTTTGTCTACGTTTTAGCCCGCAATTCTGAATCGATTTTGAAAATTCAAAAACCGTTCGAAAGATATTGGTTGGGAATCGTGCTGATTAGTTTTTGGTAGAGATCGGCCGGGCCGTTTTTTTGTAATAAAGTTAAAAAAAAAAAAATTCGACGATTTTTATGATATTTTTTTGGCCGTAGATACCATAGTCTTCTAGATCATACTAAAATAAAATTAGATGATTTAGTTGGTATAACGGTAGTGTACTTGGTCTTGAACATAGTAAACCATTAAAGTCCTACGGAAACTGGTTCAATTATAATTATTGATTAATTAAAATTATTGATTTTTGAAAATTTGCTTTTAGAAAATACTCCGAGTAAACGTGTTCGTTCGTTCGTTTGCAATGATGTGTAATAAATCCACTCGGAATACTTATAATCACTTATAAATTAATTTATTTTTTATTGATTAAGTCGATTATTTACACATATCGGGAAGTTCATGTAACTTGCCTCAAGGCTAAATACTAATTTAACTAGTTTTATTTAAAATGTACTATTTTTATTTATTCGAAAACTTTCCTTTCACTATCATGAAAATATTTTCATTCTTATATGTGAAAATGAGGCATGAATAACGAATAATTATTTTCAAAGTTATTTAATCAAGATAAACTATTTTTTAGTTCTACTAATTAAAATTAAAATAATTTTGTTTGCTATCTATGAAATTGAACAATAAATAAATTTAGTCAAATACTATTCTAAATTACACTAAATTAGCGGATACATTACAGAATATTCGAGCAAAACTTTTAAAACCGTTTTTTTAGTAAAATTAAAATTCGAAAACCGGTTTTCTGAAATGTCGGTTTTTCTTATAAACCCTATTGCTGACACAGCTTTTCAATACGTAAAATTTTTGAGTTATTTACATTATATGCACTAGGATCTACTAGAATCTAATAATATTTCATAATGTAGTTACAACAGCGATTAAAATCTCTCTCACGTATCTCATAAAATTGAAAATTAATTAGAAATCTATTAAAACGCCTTTAGAATTTGGATCAAAATAAAAAAACACTCCTCAATTTTTTGTTACATGCTATAAATTCTTTATGAATTATTATGTAGCAGCGATGCAACATTTTTAATATATTTGCAGCATGTATCATAATTTATCAGAGTATTTCAAAAGTTCAGGTTTCGCAGACGAAACCAATTTATAAAAACCATTAACTGGCGTTCCGGGGCAACCGAAAATCTAATTTAATTACGCAGGAAAGTCTTGTTAAGATAAATTATTTTGTAATTAAAATCTCGGCTGAGCTTTATGCAATATAGACTAGGATGCCGTCACGCACGATTGTTATTTAGGCGCGACAGACTTGTGTTTAATTAATTTATTTGTATGCTAAAAGCTTAAATTATTAAAATAAAAAAACTTGTATATACTAAACACTATTAGTTGCTAATTTGACATTAAATGAATAAAGAGTTATTGATTAATTATATATGTTTATTAAGAAGTCATACATCTCGCATATACTCACTTTTTGGTCTTATATCAATGTTTAATTTTCTGTTTTTATATAAAAATATATTTTGTGCTATTATACTATCGTATGATATAGTTTCATACAATGACATACTACTATAATATCGATTTACAACATAATTTCTGATTGTAAACATATTTATATTTATTAATTTATTAACAAGAACACTTTTAACCTATCTATTTCGCAAGATAGATAATAGTATAAATTTACTATGTGAACTATGTGAACTAAATTTGTAAAATTTCTATAGCAGTTTTTTACCTTTATAGTGAATGTAGATTTATATCATAGTTAGGAATATTAAATGTTTTTTTGTAATTATCAATTTAAACGCATTGTTAACCTCCTCAGAGTAAATTACAGTAAACGCAAAAAAATTACTTGGCCGGTCGCACGTTTCTTATTTTGTTCATTAGTTAAAAGGTATTTTAATTAGTTTCCAACCTACACAATCCACGTTTCTGGTTTGCAGAATACTTTTGCATAAAATTATTACGATTTCATTAATTTGTCGATTTTAAATTGAAGTCGCGGAAGCCCCTTTCTTTGAGGAAATTATTTTGTTTGAGTACTTCATGTTTCATTAAGTCTTTTGATATAAACATATTTTATAAAAAAAAATCGATATAAAAGCAATCGATTATTATTGATAGGGAAATGTGCTGATTAGTTTTTATTAGAGGCAGGTCTAGCGGTTTCGGAAATACGGAGCAAAGAGTGCAGAAAATAAAAATCGAGTTTTTGAGAGAATGGAGTATCCGATCGGAATAATTCAAAAAGCATTCTGCTCGTGTTGGCAAAACAATTGTTTTTGAAAGAAAAATATATAAAAAAAAAATTTAAAAAAATTATTTTTGTTTATCAAGAATAATTCAGATTTTAAATTTAATTGTGACCAAAGTTCTAAAGCTTACTTATATACTTTAAATAAATAACTTTGACTTGGTAATTCAGTTTATATAATTTTTATAAATATTAGAAAATGTTACAGTATTTATAATAATCTATTTGAAAACATTTAATATTCCTCTATCATTTTGTTACGGTACGGGAAGTTCCAGCAATTTGCCTTAAGGCACGATGCCATACACCACTAGTTTATTTCAATGTTTTCCATGTCATATAAACAGCACCAACGTTCGTTTTGCATACTATAGTAGTACCTAGCGGTATAGGTGAGATTAATTTTAAAATTAATTGCATCGTAATATAATAAGATTATAGCTCTTAATTACAAGATTACCAATATAGATTACGATGTTAATCACTTAAATGTTTAATGTGCGATATGCGCTTCCGACGACCGTGCGGATAATGGAAAGCATGGATCTAAGATCGATATTGAAGTAATTTTACTATTTTTACTTTTCTAACTGATTTATATTTTGAACATAATGTAAGTGACATTTTTCCAATTTAATTAATTAATATTTCAATTGTATATGATCGAAAAGTCCAACAATCCATTTTCTGGCTAAGTAACTACATGTCTATGTATCTGCCTGTCTGCTTTCGTAGCTGCCTACATGTCTCATTTTCTACTTTTCTACTTGTCTATCTGTTTTCCTTCTACTTGTTCACATGTTTGTCAACCTGTCAACCCCAAATGGCTGGACCTGCCTTTGCCAGAAAACAAATCAGCACGTCTTTCCATCAACGTTTTCCAAATCACTCAAATCGTTTGATCCGCACTCTCGAAAACATCGGCAAAAAATTGTATCCGCACATACATACAACCACACACTTAAACAAATACATCCATTTTTGCTCAGATAGGCCAAAATACTCAGAAAACTTTGAAACGTAAAGAGAGGCAAAAATTTTCATTTTAAATTTTTTTGCGATCACTATAATTTGCCCTACTGAAAGTAAAAAAGATTTTCAGTCATGATCGCTATAAAAAATACTATGTAAATTATATTTATTGAAATATATATGATATTTCTTTTATATTGAACAAAATAATAGTAAGTTGAAATAAAGCTTTCTCTAACATAATAATCTGTAATTGAGCATGCTTAATCAATATTTTTAAAAGCAAAATTTATTGTCTGGCATAAAAGCTTTGTTAAATAACAAAAAATAATATTGTTAGTTGTCATAAAAGCGATGACACAATATATCGTAATTTATTCAACTGCATAATATTTTTTATTCAAATAACTGCAATAGGTATGAAATGAATTCAAAGTTTATGAATGTGGTTTCTGTTTGTTCTGGTCAAATATTCCGCTGAATTTAACAGATTTTGGGGCGTGGAAAAACCGATCGGGCACAGTCGAATTAGCAATTTAAAATATTTAATAATGGTGGAATTTATTTTCATAGATAAATTTTTTTGTTGATATTTATAATAACCAAAAACTATTAAACTATAACAAGATCATTTTGATCAATTTTCATATACTTTAAAACAGAACAATTGATGTTTGAATATTTATACATTTCTACCAAAGCAAATGTGCAGGAGTAATAAAATACTATACTACCTATATATTACTACTAAGAAATTGAATACTAAATAAAATATTTGAATGTTTTGTTTTGCCAAAACTTAACTTCCAGAAGAGAAAACTTTTGTTCCGCTACAATATCCGATTCTTATTGAAATCACTTCTGACTATTTTAATTGAACTTTGCGTGATAATTGGTTTTCACATACTGATAGTCCGAGCAAAAATCCTAAAACGCTATACTACAAATAGTTTGGAATAATGAGAAACCCTCTTAAGATAAACACGGAAAGTAATTATAATATTTGAGAAATTAATACAAAATTGAAAAAAAAACAACACTTTCTAGCATTATAAAGTCCTGCAGCAACTCAGTATGATTTATTAAATATTGATTTCTTATTGTATAATTGAATATTCACATATATCGGAAAATTTATGCAACTTGCGTTAAAGCAAAATCCCACTTACACTTAGTTATTATTTATACATATCATTAAGTTCGTGCAACTTGAAGCAAACAGCTTACTTACACCTTATTAACTTTTCGTAGGGCAAGTTATAGTAATCGCAAAAAAATCGAAAATGAGAATTTTTGAAATGAAGGTTTCTGAATATTTTGGCCTACCTTAGAAAAAATAGATGTATGTGTGTGTGTATGTGTGTGCGCGTGTGTGTGCGTGCGGATACAAATTTTCGTCGACGATTTCGGGAACACCGATCAACCGATTTGAATAATTCAAGAAACATTCGATTCATATTGATAAGGACACGTGCTGATTAGTTTTTGGCGAAGGCAGATTTAGCCGTTCCGAAAATACGGAGCAAAAAGTGCCAAAAATGGTAACTCGGTTTTTAAGAGAACGGAGTGTCCGATTTTAATAATTTAAAAAACATTTTACTTGTATTGATAAGATGAAAAATTGATCAAATCTTCGTGAAGGCAGGTCTAGCGGTTTTGGAGATCTAGTAAAAAAAGTAAAAAAAGCCATTTGGCGGTAATAAATGATCATTAGACATATGCACATCAAATTATCAGATATTTTATAGAGATTTTAACAATAAGTAGAATTTTTGTTTACATTCCTATGGGTTCCGTACTATAGGAATACCAATATTAATCGATTTTTTTTATCAATCTACATGTTCATCCGTAGTTAAAGCAGTACGATTGCTTTAAAAAAAAGTTCAGAATTTCCAAAATAAGTCAAAATAAAGAAAACATTTTTTTTTAAATAATTTTTGATTCAAAAAGAAGTAATTTTTTGTCAAATTTATAGATTCTCAAAAATCTATTTTTTTTAAGTAAATTTTTTTCAACATTGTTAATCTTTCAAAAAAAAAAATAATTTTTGGTACGGGAAGTTCCAGCAATTTGCCTTAAGGCACGATGTCATGCGCCCCACTAGTTCACTTATTAACGGTAATTAACGCGTTACCGAGGAAAATACGCAAGACAATAGCTAATCGTTGTTTTCATCATTCAAGTATATTTTGTACGTATGTCTATTAATTTGATGCAGGTGTTCTAAATTTCCAAATAATCCATCAATTCCAAATATTGATATTCGAGACCAGCTTTGAATACTCTAGTAACCGCTCTCAATTCAGTGAGACGTGCAATTGTAGATAATTCAATCTAAAAGGGACACAGCGTTTGGCTGAAAGGAATTTCCAATTTGAATATCATTTTGGTACTTCATCCCATCAGGGCTTTTTATTCATATATGTAGTATATATAAAGGTCACAGAATTCGACCTATATGCCGATAATATCAATATCAATAAAAAAGATTTTCTAAACGGGATTTCATTGAATTCGTTTTTTGCCCCAAAATGTCACAGCAGGTCAATTCGTTTATATTAGTTCTTTGATGTACGAGCATTAAAAATGCTGTTTGGATCATTGCTATGCAAAAGCCTTTATAAAATATTAATCGAGTTTTTTTTTATCAACCTACATGAATATAAATTTATTACTTAAAATTTTATCTAAAGTTTTACACACTGATAATGACATCGATTTAATTATATATATATATATATATATATATATATTATATATATATATATTTTGTGATATGAGTGGAACGAATATTAAATGTTAAACATGAACTATACAACACTCAGATTTTTAACACACACTTTATTTAATAATTACAGACGTTTCATCTTCAGTGTAATTTCAACTAGTGGGGCGCATGGCATCGTGCCATAAGGCAAATTGCTGGAACTTCCCGTACCAAAAATTATTATTTTTTTTTTAAAACTATTAACATTTTTGAAAAAATTTTACTTAAAAAAAAATTAGACTTTTGAAAAACTATAAATTTCATAAAAAAATAAAATGTTTTTTTATTTTGACATATTTTGGAAATCCTGAACTTTTTTTCCAAGCAATCGTACTGCTTTAAAGGCATAGAGACGAAATGTCAAAGCGCGTAAGCGCCGCGTCACCTATATAACAAAATTTATACTTATTGGAAAAATCTCTATAAAATATCTGATAATTTGATGTGCATATGTCTAAATGATCATTTTTGACCGCCAAATGGCATTTTTTTTTTACTTTTTTTATTAGAATTCCAAAACCGCCTTCATGAAAATTTGATCAGCTCTTCATCTTGTCAATACAAGTAAAATGTTTTTTGAATTATTACAATCAGACGCTTCGTTTCCTTAAAAACTCAGTTACCATTTTTGGCACTTTTTGCCCCATATCTTCGGAACGGCTAGACCTGCCTTCGCCAAAAACTGATCAGCACGTCACCTTTTCAATACGAATCGAATGTTTTTTGAATGATTCAAATCGCTTCATCCGTGTTCCCGAAATCGTCGACAAAAATTTGTAACCGCACACACACACATACATCCATTTTTTCTAAGATATGCCAAAATGTTCAGAAGGTTGTGAAACGTAGAGATATATAAAAATTTTCATTTTCGATTTTTTTGCGATTACTATAACTTGCCCTAGGGGAAGTTAAAAGCAATTTTATATTTATAACTATATATATATATATATATATATATATATATATATATTCATTATTTATTCAAGAATCGGTTCTTGTATCTGAATCAGAAAGAATTTAATATTATAGTTTTTTTTTTAGGAGGAACACGAAGGAATGATCCACCATCCCAGAACCCCCAGCATAGGTGGTGGTTTACCAATGCTCTTACTATCAGTACTACCTCCGGTGATTCCAAGGGCTAGCTGGCCATCTGCTCAACCTGGACCGCCCTCCATCAGACGGAGCGTTTGTTTCAGCTCTCAGCCGGGACTGGACGATGCTGGCATCGATTTGATCAGGGCTTGCTGGGCTGGTGGTTAGATAGTGATAAATCAAATTAAGATGAATTAATATTGATAGTTTATTTTTGTCAGGACCATCAGCTTTGGGCGGAGAAAAACGAGGATTTCTGGACAAAATTCGGGGATTGTTCGGCGTGAGTCGACCAGTTAGTAGGAAAACTTCTGGAGCTTCGCTAGCTGGTATCAAAATAATACTTTTTCATTTTTTTCTCAAACAACTATACATTTGAGTGAAAAGATTTCAAATATTATAATTGTAAGAATAACATTTTTATATTTTTCAATCAAATTTTTGTTATTTATGGAAGGTAACAGCACTGGAATAGCGTCTGCTCTCAAAATTCACATGGGGGTGCTAGCTGGCCTAGTACCAGGAGCTGGTTCGAAGGCACAATTTGCTTCGTGCAATACTTTAGACACTGGTCATCATTTGCTGCAAGTTCAACGACGCCCTTCCTTTGCTAAAAGTGGTCCGACAATCAATATTCTGCCTGATGACGAACAAACAAACGGAAGGTAATTGTATCATTAATTGTTTTAACAAATTACGTTAAATGAATAATTTTTATTGATATAATCGAATAGTTGTCAACATATGTATAAAATTCGAAATATTATATTTCGGTGCATTTGCTTTATATTCTTGCTTTCAGAATTAGTTTAATAAAAGTCGATTGGCTTGCATTTAGGCTATATTTTGTTTTATAGCAATTTTTGTACTTTATTGCATGTCTCTGACTTGATTTTTTCTAACAAGTTTGTGAGATGTTGTGTATTTTGTGATTTATAATTTTTGTATTGTAAAATAGAATCGAATCATCTTGTAATAATCAAGTAATATTGCTTTATCATATAAATCCCCGGATAGGTTTTCGGGTTGGCCGGCACGAGATATTTTCAACATTTTTTTATATTCTTTTGGTCAATTTTCATTTTTAATTTTTTTTTTATGATATAAAATACATAACCCTAAATTTTGAACCTCCTTATATATATATATATATATATATATATATATATATAAAAATGGAGCTCTCGATCAAATGATCCGGTAAAACTCGAAAATGGCTAAACCGATTTGGCCAGTCTTAATCTTGAAAAATTCGTGCTAATCAGTAGGTTGTCGGAAAAATGAGTAGAAGGCAGTTTTACTGAACGTAGTCAGATAATTGTTTGTTTGAAATTTGTTGGTTTTTACAATATAGTTCAAATTGGACCTTTGTGCCTCGCCCTGCTCTACATATATACTTTTTATTAAATTTACTTTAATTCATCGAATGTTACTTGAATCTTTTCAAAAAGCAGGTCAAAAAAGAAATACTTAATTCATTTTTTAGAATTTTGTGTATTATTTACAATTATATACGAAATCCAGAATCCAAAAAGAATCTGAAAAACTTGAAACGTAATCAATAAGTCGAAAGACCAAAAAAGACTTGGATTGGATTAATATAATTATAATTAATTATAAGATAAATATAATTTCTATGGAAAGTGTGTAAAACTTCCAGATTGATTGTGTTGACAAAATATAGACAAACTAATAGGGTTTATTGTTTTGATAATACCTCATTGTATATAGCATTCAAACAACACATCCTTATACACTTAAAGTATTAATATTTTTGAATCTCTAGAAATTGTTTAGAATATACCTTACTTAGCAAAACAACGTTTGCCGGGTATATATATATATATATATATATATATATATAAATATAAATATATATATATATATATATATAAATACATATATACTATGGAATGAGAAGAACTCTCACACTATTTCTTCCCTGAATCTAGTTGGAGTTTAACTCAGCTCACAGAGCCCTAGGGCAGTACTACCCATTATTATTATTATTATTATTATTATTATTATTATTATTATTATTATTATTATTATATGTATGTATATTTGTGCGTGTGTGTATAGATAATAAGATAAATGAGATATATGGGATGTGTATAAGACGGATAAAATATTAGGAAGCTAAAATATAATTATTTATATAAGATATATAAAGAGTACAATATACTAAATGACTTCTTTTTTTTTCTTTATTTTAGAATTTTTCCGCTGGTGTTTTCAATAACTAATATGTCAGAAAATGATAAAAGTACAGAGATTGTAACATCAGCAACCTTGCACACTGAAGTTTCAAAAGAGGATATCAAACATCGGGATTCCCTAGATCCAAATACTACTTCTTATTCATCCGTAGTTACAAATAAGTATGTTGATTATTCTAAAATATTGTCATAATTATATTTAATTTAAATAATTCATATAATTTCGGCAAATTATAATATATGCAAATTTCTAACTCTATTATTGTTCAACCATTATAATAATTATTTAAAATATCATTACTCATAATCAGGTGATATACTTTATAGTTTCTTCCTTTATTAATAAATGTCATAACGCATTATATATATGAACCGTGTTCCCGAATTCGTCGACGTAAATTTGTATTCGCCAAAGGTATGCCAAAATGTTCGGATACCTTTGACACGTGAAGACATATAAAAAGTTTCATTTTCGATTTTTTGCAATTACTATAATAACTTAGCCTATGTTAAGTTAATGAAGTTTAACCTTCCCGTAGTGTAAATTATAGTAATTGCAAAAATATCGAAAATATTTCAAAGCAATCGTACTGCTTTATAGCAGCATGGAAACGAAATATAGACGCCCGTAAGCGCCGCGTCGCCGTCTAACGGACAAACGATGTTACGGAACCCATAAAAATGTAAACAAAATTTATACGTATTATTATAATGTCCATAAAATATCTGATAATTTGATGTGCATATGTCTAATGATCATTTTTGAGCGCCAAATGGCTTTTTGTTTTTTCATTAGATCTCCGAAACAGCTAAACCTGCCTTCATGAAGATTTGATCAATTCTTTATCTTCTCAATACAAGTAAAATGTTTTTTGAATTTTTAAAATCGGACGCTCCGTTCTCTTAAAAACCGTGTTACCGTTTTTGGCACATTTTGCCCCGTATCTTTGGAACGGCTAGACCTGCCTCCAACAAAAACTAATCAGCAGGTCTCCTTATCAGTACGAATCGAATGTTTTTTAATTTATTTAAATCGGTTGATCGGTGTTTTCGAAATCGTCGACGAAAATTTGTATCCGAACACACACGTACACACACACATACATCAATTTTTTCTAAGGTATGCCAAAATATTCAGAAACCTTTGAAACGTCGAGAAATGCAAAAACTTTCATTTTCGATTTTTTTGCGATCACTATAACTTGCCCTACGGGAAGTTAATAAAGAAAACACTTTTTTGCAAAGTTTTTTTTCCAAAAAGTTGATTTTTTTTCAAAAATAAAAACTTTCTCAAAAATCTAATTTTTTCAAACTTAAAAAAAAATTGAAATCTTTTTTAAAAAAAATAATTTTCGATACGAGAAGTTCCAGCAATTTACCCTAATGCACGATGCCATGCACCACTAATTTACTATTTTATTTTATATTTATCCATTTCTTTAACAGAATATCAACAACCATTAGTATGTCGGAGTTGGGCGCCGAAGCTCGAGCCATCGGCTTGAGGCAAGGAAGCAGGCCTCGCTGCAGGTCGATGGAAGACGCCAGCCTGACGCTGCCCGGGTCCAGGCGGGGTTCCGGACTGTTAGCCGTTTCCTGGATACCATCTGATCTAAAGCAAACTAGACCTGTCGCATTTGCTTCCAGCGGTACCACTTGCATACACATTTTGTATATATATATTATATATTATATATGTATAATATATGTATATATAATATACATATATATTATATATGTAATATATATCTGTCAATTTTAATTTTTAATTTTTTTATAATTTTTATATAAAAAACATATATAACCCTAAAACCACCTCCTACAAACCCATATTTTGTAAGAATTATTTACAAGATTTAATAGTAATTACGTCTTTTTTCATAAACCGTACTTTCGATCGCGATGAAAATTTGGGAAATTGTTAGGTAAATCCAGAGACAGGTTTCCGAATATTTTGATTGAAGCCAAGTGGAATTTTTTTCTGTAAATTTTAATTTTTAATTGTTTAAAACCCTAAATATTCAACCTCTTACCATAAACCTCTATTTTGTAAGAATTATTTAATAGTAATTATATTATTCTTCATATACCATGCGTCCGATCCGATGGGGATTAGCCTAAGACATTTTAACATTTTTTTTAGTCAAATTTTACTTTTTATAGACTGGTAAATTGGTAAACAGGTAGGCAGGACAAGTGGTAGATAGACGAATTTGTAGACAGATAAAGTAAACAAGTACATTAGTGGACATGTAGATGATAGGTAAATTGGTAGATATATAGAAAGAGATGACAGGTATATTGGTTGACAGGTATGTTCATAAACAGGTTGTTAGGTAATTTGGTAGACAGGATAATTGACAGACATATTGATAAATAGATAGTAGACAGATGAACAGGTAGACAGATAAATAGCTAGATTTGGAATTAAAGGATTTGTAAAATGGTAGGTAAGACAACTGATAAATAGACAAATAACCAGTCAGATAAACCGATTGACTGATAGATTGGTAGACATGTGAAACGAGTTGGCAGGCCGGTGAAATGGTAGATTAATAAACAGGTTAGTAGGAAAATTGGTAAACATATTGTTAAACCATATTTATGACTGTTAAATTGAAAAATTGTTGAGCAGGTTAATTAGTTGGCACATAGAACGGTAAAACAGGTATATTGTTAGACAGCTGGTGATCAGGTAAATTGGAAGATATTAAAAATGGTGGACAGGACAACTGGTAGATCGACGAATAATAAGATAGATAAATAGGTTGACAGGCATATTGGTACGCCGATAAAATGACAAACAAGTTGAAAGGTACTTTGGTAGACAAATTGTTAAGCAGATAAATTGGTGGTTAGCTGAATTGGTAGACTGATAATGATTATTTAAAATATACTTACGCAGGTAATTAGTTTATAGTTTTTTATAGGTTGACAGGTTGACAGGTATACTGGTGGACAGGTAAATTATTGGACAGGTAAATTGATGGATAAGATCTGGTGAAATGCTTGACTGACAAACAGGTTAGCAGATACACTGTCGCGAGAAAGACAGATAGTATTCTAGACAGGTAGACTACAATCCAAAAAAAATGATAATCTAAAAGTGACAAATACACATTTTTGTTCGACTTTTTAATTTAAACTAAAATACGGCGATGCGTGAATGGGTACATTTAATATATATATATATATATATAGACATAGCTCAAAGGTAGCATGTCCGACTCACATGCCGTAGAAACCGTCATTCAGTGGAAAAAAGAATTAATTATACAAAAATACACTACACTATTACACTATGATAAACCAAGCTATTAATAACTGAAACATTTAAATTAATTTTTTTTTTTTTGACAATTTTTTAGTCGTTAGCTAACTTGTACACACTATAATGTAACCAAAAAATTGTCAAAAAAAAAAATAATAATTAGTTTAAATGTTTCAGTTTTTAATAGCTTGGTTTATCATAGTGTAATAGTGTAGTGTATTTTTGTATAATTAATTCTTTTTTCCACTGAATGACGGTCTCGATGAAGACCGAAACGTATGGATAAATAAAGTATTTCAAAACTACTTTAGTTTTTTTTATTTGGTGTTACTGCCCGATTATAAATAACTCATCAATATATATATATATATATATATATATATATATATATATATATATACTTAGATACTACACATTCTTTAATATTACATTTAAATTACATTTAATTATTGAAAATACAAAAAACAACTATCGCTTGCAAAGCTTGACACAGTAATCAAGTACTGTGTATGAATTTGTAGTATATAAGTAACTGTTTTTGAAATTATACTGAAGATGTGGCATAGCATGGTCTCGAAACGTCTGTAATTACCAAATAGTGTGTTTTAAAAATCTGAGTGTTGTATTGTTCATATTTAACATTTAATATATATATATATATATATATATATATATGTCAATTGTTTCATGGCATTTAAACATATTTAAAACTAGTTAGTATTGGTATTTTGCCTTGAGGCAAGTTACATGAACTTCCCGGTATGTATTAGTTTTGATTGTTATCGACTTAATCAATAAAAAATAAATTAATTTATGAGTTTTACTACACATAATTGAAAACGTACGAACACGTTAACTCCGAGTATTTTCTAAAATCAAATTTTTAAAAATCAACAAATTTTACAATTGAACCAGTTTCCGTAGGACTTGAATGGTTTAGTATGTTCATTAAGACCAGGTACTTTATCGTTAAACCAAGTAAATCGCCTAATTTTGATTTTAACAAACGTTAAAATACTACTAATTTTCTTAAAATGTGATCGATTTTTAAAATTAAACTACTTGTCGTAAGGCATTAATATTTCAGTAAGTTCTATACGACCATGATATATATAGTTCAAAAAAGATCCATGGAAATCGGCTTAATTTTTTTTTCAACGGTTAATTAAAAGAAAACGGCTCGATATATTTTCACCTAAAACTAATCAGTATCATTCCCAACTAATATCTTTGGAACAGTTTTTGATTTTTTTACATCGATTCGGTAGTATGAGCTTAAATGTGGACGAAAGTTTTAACACTTTCTCCAAATTACAAAGAAACGGCTCGGCCGATCGTCGTGCAAGATTGAGAAAGGATAATCCTCATCGAAATATATAAAATGGCTTTCAAATTTCTAAAATCGATTCAGGCGTTTTTGTGCAAACGTCGATGAAAGGTGTAATTTTGACAAACGCTAATAAAACAATACTATTTTTTGCAAACTTTGACGAATTTTCAAAATTGAACGACTTGTCCGTCGGCCGTAATATTTTAGTATGATCTAGAAAACCATGATATTTATCACCAAAAAAAATCATGAAAATCGTAAAAAAAAATTTTTTTAACACTTTATCACAAGAAAACGGCCCGGCCGATTTTTACAAAAAACTAATCAGGTCGATTCTCAATCAATATCTTTAGAATGATTTTTAAATTTTTAAAATCAGAATTGCGGGCTAAAACGTGGACGAAAAAATTTTCACTTTTCTGCTATTTACGAAGAAACGGTGAGACCGATCGTCGCACAAAATTGATGAAAATAATTGTCGAATAAAAGTAATACACATATACAACTATTTCCGATTATATACCTTCAGGAGGTCATACAAAGATCACAGAAACCGTTATTATTTTAATGAAATGAGTGCAATGTAATAATAAAATTAAAATGTTTCAAAATTATACTAAACCTACTTATTCTTGATATTACATTATTTTGTTAATTTTTAAACTGTTATTATTAATTAAAACTACACAATACTATTCATCAACTAATCATTTATAATAAATACTAATAAATAATTCTTAAGAATGAGATACCTCAGCCAATACTATTCATCAACTAATCATTTATAATAAATACTAATAAATAATTCTTAAGAATGAGATACCTCAGCCAAAATTTAAAGTCAATTCAAAATTATTAAAAAGGCCGAGTGAATATACCAATCTATAGCTAAAATTTTACTAAAATTTAAGAGACAATGAAAAAATTGTGTAGATAAACTGATATCTAATAAAATAAAGATAAAAGTTTGTTTGATAATTTTGTAATAAATTATTTGCTCTATAATAAATAAAGATTATTTATAATATAATTAAATTGACACCAATGCTATTTATTCAACTTTTTTTTGTAATAACCCATAAAATCTTATATATGAAATTATAGGTGATGTTTGGGCCGATGCTGGAATTCCTCTAAGTGAATTAGAAAATCATCAAAATCGAAGAAAATCAAGGACAAATAATGACCATGCCAATTGTGAAAAAAGATTTTCATAGATTTTATATTAAGTTATATACGTCTAAAAATAAATGTAAATATATATATATATATATATATATATATATATATATATTCACATAATTTGTAAATTATATATTATATAATATCAGAATTGTCTGTCGATTTTGTTAGCAAACCGCTGGCGGGTTGGAATAGTGAAATTGATAAATGTAGCTGCATTTTTGAAACTTTCAATGTACATTTAATTAAAAAAATAATAAATTACTATAGTATAAAAGAACATTATATAAGGAAACAAAAATGAAGAAATTATCTCGCCACAAAATCATAAATATATCCATGATATATCCAACTGCATCATGAAACATCATTTGAAAGTATAAGTTCAAAAATATTTCTGGCTCGAATATTTTGATTAAGATTAACAAATAGACTACTGCAAAATAGCTACTTTTTTCTAAAACCTTTGAAGGGCTATTTAGACCAAAACGACATAGAATATATTGAATGAAATAGGTGCATAGGGAATAAATTACTTTAGTAAAAAAAAGTATGAAATGTAAATTATTGTATTAGTATTTAAATTATTTTCTAATTTCGCAGAAATAAAATTATATTAGTCAATAAATTATGAATGAAGTATATTTATTAATAATAACTAGTTAAGTATGTTAAATTTATGTGAATCTGCAACGTACAATCACATTAAATGTGCGCCTGATATATTTATATACATATATATTTAATTATGTGTCATTGTAATCCAAATAATATAATTAAAACTAACTGTAAGTTTTAAAACTATTGTGATTAAATACAACTGAGATTTTGCAAAGCAATAAATTATTTGAATTTGAAATTTACGAATCATATCAATATTAATATAGCAATATTTCAAAATAATTTCTTAGTTTTTACATTAAGTTATTAACTTAATATGTTCAATTAAAAATTTAGTCAAAATTAATTTATTAGTTTTCTCATAATTATATCTTTACAAGTATTTTAGCATAATTTGTACTTGCCCACAAAATGTAACAAATAAATGTAAATTGAACATTTTTTTTTTTAATTAATATCGTTTGAGTGTTATATACTTACATATCAAATAATATTAAAATGTTACAACTTTTCATTTAAAAGCGCACCTTATTGCTGAAAGTTTATTACAATGCGACAGATTTCTCATCACTAATTCGTATGCATTTTTCAATACCATCTACTCTACAATATAGAATTAATATGTCTAAGCTAACCGTCCATTGTTGTTTTTGGGAAATACGACTAAAGACAAAATTACGGAAACTACAGACATTACAAAACAAGACACTACGACTAGTACTTAACAAAATAAGGAACCCATTGACTAGACCGGAGGTAGGAAACCTTTTTGCCATTAGAGGCCACACTTAAATTAGGCAGCAATGAAAGAGGCCGCATAAGCTGATTGACCTAAAAAAGTGACTTTTGTGAAATTATTATAGTTTTTTTCATAGTTTTAACAATTTATTGAATTATATAGAAAAAAGTAAATAAAATACTTCAAAATTCAAAATATAATATAATATATAATAATAATAATATAAAATAATATAACAATATTACAAAAAATACAATAAAAAAAATAATTTTTAAAAACTAAGTTAGTGATTTATTTGGCTTTGTCTTTTGCTTGCCAGCTTTTTGCTTGGCAACTCAGCAATTTATGACAAAATGACCAATAAATGTCGAGATGTAAAATTTCTGGGTGTGAAGGAAATCGAACGAAATTTCATTCAATTTTCTTGAAGATTGGAAAAAAAGTTGGTATGTTTCGAAAGTATGTAATGAGATAAAATCGACTTTGTTTCGATAAAATCGAATTTTAGTTCGTTTTAATTTCATTTAAACAATCATTTGTTATATAAAAATGACATTAAAGTCTTTTGATTTGAATTTGATTTTCATATTCTTATTGTTACATAATTATTTGAAATAAAAAAATATATTTTTTTCTGATACCTTTGAATTCACTGATAAA